AACCAGGTGATCTCTCTCTGTGTTCCAGTCTACTGTCCACTCAGTGTAGATAGTAAACCAGTGATCTCTCTCTGTGTTCCAGTCTACTGTCCACTCAGTGTAGATAGTAAACCAGGTGATCTCTCTCTGTGTTCCAGTCTACTGTCCACTCAGTGTAGATAGTAAACCAGGTGATCTCTCTCTTGTTCCAGTCTACTGTCCACTCAGTGTAGATAGTAAACCAGGTGATCTCTCTCTGTGTTCCCAGTCTACTGTCCACTCAGTGTAGATAGTAAACCAGGTGATCTCTCTCTGTGTTCCGTCTACTGTCCACTCAGTGTAGAATAGTAAACCAGGTGATCTCTCTCTGTGTTCCAGTCTACTGTCCACTCAGTGTAGATAGTAAACCAGGTGATCTCTCTCTGTGTTCCAGTCTACTGTCCACTCAGGGGTAGATAGTAAACCAGGTGATCTCTCTCTGTGTTCCAGTCTACTGTCCACTCAGTGTAGATAGTAAACCAGGTGATCTCTCTCTGTGTTCCAGTCTACTGTCCACTCAGTGTAATAGTAAACCAGGTGATCTCTCTCTGTGTTCCAGTTACTGTCCACATCAGTGTAGATAGTAAACCAGGTGATCTCTCTCTGTGTTCCAGTCTACTGTCCACTCAGTGTAGATAGTAACCAGGTGATCTCTCTCTGTGTTCCAGTCCCTACTGTCCACTCAGTGAGATAAGAACCGTGATCTCCTGTGTTCAGTCCTAACTGTCCGAAATCAGTGTAGATAGTAACCAGTCATCTCTCCCTGGTTCCCAGTCCTACTCCACTCATTAGACTGATCTAACCAGTGAACCTCTCTATGTGTCCACTACTGTCCACTCATGTAGATGATCTAAACCAGGTGATCTCTCTCTGTGTTTCCAAGTCTACGTCCACCAGTTAGACTGAGTAAACCAGTGATCTCTCCTCTGTGTTCCACTAAACTTACCCCAACTCAGTGTAGATATTAAACCGGTAATCTCTCCTCTGCTGTTCCCTACCTGTCCCAACTCATGTAGATGTCCAAACCAGGTGATCTCTCTCTGTGTTCCTAACCTAACTCCCACCATATAGATGTAAACCAGTGATCTCTCCTCTGTGATCCAGTCCTACCTCCACATATAGTGATCCTAAACCCTGATCTCTCCATGCTGTCCGTCTACTCCCTCATGTAGATATAAAACCAACCTATCTCTCTCTGTTTTCCAAACCTACTCCACCATTGATAGTAAACCAGTGATCCTTCTGATTCCAGTCTCCCACCATGTAGATGTTTAAACCTAACTCTCTCTGCTGTTCCCTAAACCTACTGTCCACTCATTGAGATAAAACCTGACCCTCTCTGGTCCATCTACTGTCCACTCATGAGATATAACCATTGTGATCCCTCCTGTGCCCCCTCTATACTGTCCCTCATAACCTAACCTAACCAGTAGATCTATCCTCTGTCCACCCCTACTATCACTCGATCTAAATACTAACCATATCCTATGCGTGTCCCAACTACGTCCACTCAGTTAGATGCCCAAACCTGATCTCCTCCTTAGCTGTTCCGCTGACACTAATGCCAGCTACCTGAGGGCAGCCCGGGCAGGGAACCTAGAGAAGGCTTTGGATTACCTGAAGACTGGGGTCGAAATCAACATCTGTAACCATTGTCGTCCCTAACCTCCCCTTACCTTAACTGATCCCTAAAACCTAACCCTAACCATATAGACTGATCCCAAAAACCTAACCCCTACCATATAGACTGATCCCTAAAACCTAACCCCTAACCATATAGACTGATCCCTAAAACCTAACCCCTAACCATATAGACTGATCCCTAAAACCTAACCCCTAACCATATAGACTGATCCCTAAAACCTAACCCCTAACCATATAGACTGATCCCTAAAACCTAACCCCTAACCATATAGACTGATCCCTAAAACCTAACCCCTAACCATATAGACTGATCCCTAAAACCTAACCCCTAATCATATAGACTGGGGTCGAAATCAACTTCTGTAACCAATTCAGTCCCTATCCATGACCCCTGACCCCTAACCCCTAAACTCTGACCCCTAACCCAACCGGGTCAGATAGACAACTCCCTCATCTTTCTTTAGAATTCTCCTCAGTGAAACCCAGCCCAGAAGCTATATTAGTTGTTTGTAAATGTTAGTTCTGATCTGGATGATCCATAGATCCTGATCTCTCTGTGTTCACCACTATCTCTCTGTGTTCACCACTATCTCTCTGTGTTCACCACTATCTCTCTGTGTTCACCACTATCTCTCTGTGTTCACCACTATCTCTCTGTGTTCACCACTATCTCTCTGTGTTCTCCACTATCTCTCTGTGTTCTCCACTATATCTCTGTGTTCACCACTATCTCTCTGTGTTCACCACTATCTCTCTGTGTTCTCCACTATATCTCTGTGTTCACCACTATCTCTCTGTGTTCACCACTATCTCTCTGTGTTCACCACTATCTCTCTGTGTTCTCCACTATATCTCTGTGTTCACCACTATCTCTCTGTGTTCACCACTATCTCTCTGTGTTCACCACTATCTCTCTGTGTCTCTCCTCCTGTACAATGCCCTTTTACCCACTCCTCTTTGGTTACCAACCATGTCTGGGTGGTTACACCACTATCAAGCTGTGTTCCAATGTGGTACCACAACTAGTGTTACCACTCCCGTTCCTCCTTTTCTTGGTAACTATATTTTGGAAGCCCTACTTGTGCCTAACGGGAAATAATCTCCCTGCTGTTACCATAGGACGGTGGTGATTCTCCCTACCTGGTTACCATAAATCTCTCTGTGTTACCATAGAGAGCGGTAGTCCATTCCCTGTGCTACCTCTGGGTTGCCAGGATCTCTCCTGTGTTCCACAGATAGGGATCTCGTCCCACTGATCCTATGTGTTGCAGTCCACATCTCTCTGTGACCTATGGTCTGTCCCCTACTCTTGGTTTTAAGGAGATCTCCGTGCACTGTCCCCCTATAGGGATGAGAGGAGCAGTCCTGCTGTGACCTACGGGCAGGGGAGGGTGTGTCACCCTGACTGGTTACCTATAATGTCGTGTGTGAGCCAATCCCTGACTGTTACCTATATGGAGGGGGTGGGACTCAGTCCCTGACTGGTACCTATAGGAGAGAGGATGGTCACGCCCTGCCTTTACCTAAGGGAGAGGGATGGAGGGTCAGTCCCTGACTGGTGACCTATAGGGAGGAGGGAGGGAGGAGCCGTCCCTACTGGTACCTATAGGGGGAGGGAAGGGGGAGTCTCCCCGACTGGTTCCTATAGGGAGGAGGGAGGGGGGAGTCAGTCCCTGACTGGTTACCTATAGGGAGGAGGGAGGGAGGAGTCAGTCCCTGACTGGTTACCTATAGGGAGGAGGGAGGGAGGAGTCAGTCCCTGACTGGTGACCTATAGGGAGGAGGGAGGGAGGAGTCAGTCCCTGACTGGTGACCTATAGGGAGGAGGGAGGGAGAGTCAGTCCCTGACTGGTGACCTATAGGGAGGAGGGAGGGAGGAGTCAGTCCCTGACTGGTGACCTATAGGGAGGAGGGAGGGAGGAGTCAGTCCCCTATAGGGTTCTAGTTATTGGGATCTCACTACATAGGGGAGAGGATGCCATGTAGAAGGTAGAATGGGTCTATATTAATGACAACACAGTTAATGGGCCTATCAGAGCAGAGAGCCGGCAGGACCATGCTGTCTCAGCCTATCAGAGCAGAGAGCCGGCAGGACCATGCTGTCTCAGCCTATCAGAGCAGAGAGGGGGCAGGACCATGCTGTCTCAGCCTATCAGAGCAGAGAGCCGGCAGGACAACGCTGTCTCAGCCTATCAGAGCAGAGAGCCGGCAGGACAACGCTGTCTCAGCCTATCAGAGCAGAGAGCCGGCAGGACCATGCTGTCTCAGCCTATCAGAGCAGAGAGCCGTCTCAGCACAGCTCCAAAGTCACATCACCACCTGTCATTCTCACCACTATAGAACGTGGAGGTCACAGGAAGCAGGTAGTCATCCACAGCTACTATATGGAGTCATCAAATCTGCTACAATACTTTTGGAGTCCTTGTCTATGTATATGTTGCCACTCTCTACTCCTAAAACATCAGCAGGGCCAGGAAGCTATATTATATGGAGAGGGTGGTAGAGGAAGGAACAGAACAAGCTATATTATATGTAGAGGGTGGTAGAGGAAGGAACAGAACAAGCTATATTATATGTAGAGGGTGGTAGAGGAAGGAACAGAACAAGCTATATTATATGTAGAGGGTGGTAGAGGAAGGAACAGAACAAGCTATATTATATGGAGAGGGTGGTAGAGGAAGGAACAGAACAAGCTATATTATATATAGAGGGTGGTAGAGGAAGGAACAGAACAAGCTATATTATATGTAGAGGGTGGTAGAGGAAGGAACAGAACAAGCTATATTATATGGAGAGGGTGGTAGAGGAAGGAACAGAACAAGCTATATTATATATAGAGGGTGTGTAGAGGAAGGAACAGAACAAGCTATATTATATGGAGAGGGTGGTAGAGGAAGGAAACAGAACAAGCTATATTATATAGAGGGTGGTAGAGGAAGGAACAGAACAAGCTATATTATATATAGAGGGTGGTAGAGGAAGGAACAGAACAAGCTATATTATATATAGAGGGTGGTAGAGGAAGGAACAGAACAAGCTATATTATATGTAGAGGGTGGTAGAGGAAGGAACAGAACAAGCTATATTATATGGAGAGGGTGGTAGAGGAAGGAACAGAACAAGCTATATTATATGGAGAGGGTGGTAGAGGAAGGAACAGAACAAGCTATATTATATGTAGAGGGTGGTAGAGGAAGGAACAGAACAAGCTATATTATATGTAGAGGATGCTATAGGAAGTAACTCTCTCTCTCTCTCTCTCTCTCTCTCTCCCTCTCTTTCTCTCCCCCTACACTCCCTCTCTCTCCTATCCCCCATACCTCCCTGTGTCTTTCCAGAAAGGGAACACAGCTCTCCACATAGCGTCTCTGGCTGGTCAGGTAGATGTAGTGAAGGAGCTGGTGACCAACGGAGCTAACATCAACGCACAGTCTCAGGTGAGTCATATAATGATGGTGTTGTAGTCGTGCGCGGCCATGCAGTCGTGGGTGAACAGGGAGTACAGGAGGGGACTAAGCACGCTCCCCTGAGGGGCCCCGTGTTGAGGATCAGCGTGGCGGATCTGTTATTGCCTACCCTCATCACCTGGCAGCGGCCCGTCAGGAAGTCCAGCATCCAGTTGCAGAGGGAGGTGTTCAGTCCCAGGGTCCTGAGCTTAGTGATGAGCTTGGAGGGCACTAAAGATGTTGGATCTTAATTTTACCCCTTTCGTCGCAGGAGGAAAATAATGCTGTAGCAGGAGGATTTGAATATCTGAACAAATATGTAGAATGGCCACCAGGGGGCAACTAGAAGTGTTGTTTGTATAGAATGCACACCGTACCTACGTTGTACCTTATCCAGGCTAGAAGTGGTGTTTGTATAGAATGCACACCGTACCTACGTTGTACCTTATCCAGGCTAGAAGTGGTGTTTGTATAGAATGCACACCGTACCTACGTTGTACCTTATCCAGGCTAGAAGTGGTGTTTGTATAGAATGCACACCGTACCTACGTTGTACCTTATCCAGGCTAGAAGTGGTGTTTGTATAGAATGCACACCGTACCTACGTTGTACCTTATCCAGGCTAGAAGTGGTGTTTGTATAGAATGCACACCGTACCTACGTTGTACCTTATCCAGGCTAGAAGTGGTGTTTGTATAGAATGCACACCGTACCTACGTTGTACCTTATCCAGGCTAGAAGTGGTGTTTGTATAGAATGCACACCGTACCTACGTTGTACCTTATCCAGGCTATGTGCTACAGCGGCTCTTGGCAATTCTTATGTGGATTATAATAAATTCACAAATTTGTAGGGAGTAGGTTATTTTTTTTTTATAGGGAAATTTGTTTTTTTAGATCTATTGTTTTATTATATGTTGAAGGCAAACAATAGTGCTGTAGACCACTGGGAGGCCTATATGGGCCCTAGACCACTGGGAGGCCTATATGTGCTGTAGACCACTGGGAGGCCTATATGTGCTGTAGACCACTGGGAGGCCTATATGGGCCCTAGACCACTGGGAGGCCTATATGGGCCCTAGACCACTGGGAGGCCTATATGTGCTGTAGACCACTGGGAGGCCTATATGTGCTGTAGACCACTGGGAGGCCTATATGTGCTGTAGACCACTGGGAGGCCTATATGTGCTGTAGACCACTGGGAGGCCTATATGGGCCCTAGACCACTGGGAGGCCTATATGTGCTGTAGACCACTGGGAGGCCTATATGTGCTGTAGACCACTGGGAGGCCTATATGTGCTGTAGACCACTGGGAGGCCTATATGTGCTGTAGACCACTGGGAGGCCTATATGTGCTGTAGACCACTGGGAGGCCTATATGGGCCCTAGACCACTGGGAGGCCTATATGTGCTGTAGACCGCTGGGAGGCCTATATGTGCTGTAGACCACTGGGAGGCCTATATGTGCTGTAGACCACTGGGAGGCCTATATGTGCTGTAGACCACTGGGAGGCCTATATGTGCTGTAGACCACTGGGAGGCCTATATGTGCTGTAGACCACTGGGAGGCCTATATGGGCCCTAGACCACTGGGAGGCCTATATGTGCTGTAGACCACTGGGAGGCCTATATGTGCTGTAGACCACTGGGAGGCCTATATGGGCCCTAGACCACTGGGAGGCCTATATGTGCTGTAGACCACTGGGAGGCCTATATGGGCCCTAGACCACTGGGAGGCCTATATGTGCTGTAGACCACTGGGAGGCCTATATGTGCTGTAGACCACTGGGAGGCCTATATGTGCTGTAGACCACTGGGAGGCCTATATGTGCTGTAGACCACTGGGAGGCCTATATGTGCTGTAGACCACTGGGAGGCCTATATTGGCCCTAGACCACTGGGAGGCCTATATGTGCTGTAGACCACTGGGAGGCCTATATGGGCCCTAGACCACTGGGAGGCCTATATGTGCTGTAGACCACTGCAGGCCGCGAGTGAACTTACATTTGACCTTATCACTGGACACGTGTATGTCGTAGCCTAGTGAGACCAGTATCTATGTTGTTATTAAGATACGCCACACGACCAAAAGTATGTGGACACCTGCTCATCCAACATCTCATTCCAAAATCATGGGCATTAATATGGAGTTGGTCCCCCCTTTGCTGCTATAACAGCCTCCACTCTTCTGGGAAGGCTTTCCACTAGATGTTGGAACATTGCTGCAGGGGACTTGCTTCCATTCAGCCACAAGAGCATTAGTGAGGTTGGGCACTGATGTTGGGCGATTAGACCTGGCTCGCAGTTGACGTTCCAATTCATCCCAAAGGTGTTCGATGGGATTGAGGTCAGGGCTCTGTGCAGGCCAGTCAAGTTCTTCCATACCGATCTTGACAAACCATTTCTGTATGGACCTCGCTTGGTTGCCACCGGGAGGATGGCGGCTACAGACTCCGTCACCGGCCCAGACCTGGCAGGCGTTCCCCGGGAGTATTGGGACCTGGGGGAGGTGTTTAGTAAGAGGCATGCCAAGGGCCTACCTCCTCACAGGCCATACGACTGCGCTATCGATCTCCTGCCGGGCGCCATGCCCACACGAGGGCGATTGTTTTCCTTGTCCCGGGCGGAGACGCTGGCAATGAGGGAGTATATCGACGAGACACTCGTCAAGGGTCACATCCGTCCCTCTACTTCACCCGCGGGCGCGGGCTTCTTCTTCTTGGGGATAAAGGACAGTGGGCAGTGGCTGTGCATTGATTACCGGGTGCTCAACGACATCACGGTTAAGAACTGCTACCCACTCCCCTTGATGATGACGGCATTCAAGTCATTGCAGGGAGCCCGGGTCTTCACCAAGCTGGACTTATGTAATGCCTACAACCTGGTGAGGATTCGGGAGGGGGACGAGTGGAAGACGGCTTTTAACACACCCAGTGGGCATTACGAGTAACAAGTCATACTGTTCAGTCTAGCCAACGCGCCTGCGGTGTACCAGGCGTTGGTCAGTGATGTGCTCTGGGACCTCCTCGACTACAGCGTCTTCGTGTATTTGGATGACATCCTTATATTTTCAAAGGACATGAGTGAACACCAGCAGCACGTTCGGCAGGTCCTCCAACGCCTTCTCTGTCACCAGCTCTACGTCAAGGCGGAGAAGTGCGTGTTCCACACAGAGACAGTCTCCTTCCTGGGGTTCATCGACCTACGGATGGACCCAGCCAAGGTCAGCGCGGTACTGGATTGGCCACAGCCCTCATCCCTCAAGCAACTACAACAGTTTTTAGGGTTCACTCATTTTTATAGGCAATTTATTCGCAATTTTAGCTCCCTAGCTGCTCCTCTGACAGCCCTCACCCAGACGAGCGTGTGCTCATTCGCCTGGACCCCGGAAGCGGGGAACGCATTTGATGCGCTTAAGCGGCGCTTTACATTGGCCCTGGTCCTAGGGCATCCTGATCCGTCCCTGCCCTTCATTGTGGAGGTGGATGCTTCAGACATTCGCGGTGGGAGTAATCCTGTCCCAGCGGTTCCTCACGGACGGTAAGACTCACCCCTGCGCATTTTTCTCCCGTCGGCTGTCCCCGGCGCAGCGGAATTACGACGTGGGGAACCGTGAGTTGCTAGCGGTCAAGCTCGCCCTGGGGGAGTGGAGGCATTGGCTAGAGGGGTCGCCCACCCATTTGTCGTACGGACGGACAATAAGAACTTAGCCTACATTCAGGGGGTCAAGAGTCTCAACTCGCGCCAGGCCAGGTGGGAGTTGTTCTTCACCAGGTTCCGGTTCACCGTCTCATACCATGGACCTGGTGGAGTGGGACGCCCCATTGTCCCCAACGCCCTGATTGCTGCCCCAGTTTCGTGGGGAATTAATAGGCTGGTCAGAGCAACGTTACGTCGGGAGCCCGATCCGATCCAATTCATCCCAAAGGTGTTCTCACAGGCTGGACTAATCAGTATCCTATTGGTGTCACCTGTGTCTACCTGTTCACCTGTGTATTTATGCCCTCACTTCCCTGTGTTCCCTTGCTCAGTTTTCTCTGCTAGTTTCTCTATGTCCAGCAGTACTACTCAGTGTCTGATCAGAGACCTATGTACAGGTACTTGAGAAGTGTTCTCCCTGTTTCGTTAATTGTTTCAGTCTTAGGTAGTATTTCGTATTTTGGCTGTCAGACGGTTTTTGGAACTTATTTGCTCCGCCTTAATTTTATCGTGATAAATCTGTTATTTTGTATCCTGGCTTCGGGGTAAAGATCCTTGTTTCACCATCTCTGCCTCCTGCCTACTGTCTGTCCTGCACCGCACCTGGGTCACACCTCACACCAACCCTTACAGGCTGTATTCCCTGTATTACTATAGTAATGTACTGTAGAACTAGACTGATACTAATGGCTGTATTCCCTGTATTACTATAGTAATGTACTGTAGAACTAGACTGATACTAATGGCTGTATTGTCTGTATTACTATAGTAATGTACTGTAGAACTAGACTGATACTAATGGCTGTATTCCCTGTATTACTATAGTAATGTACTGTAGAACTAGACTGATACTAATGGCTGTATTGTCTGTATTACTATAGTAATGTACTGTAGAACTAGACTGATACTAATGGCTGTATTGTCTGTATTACTATAGTAATGTACTGTAGAACTAGACTGATACTAATGGCTGTATTCCCTGTATTACTATAGTAATGTACTGTAGAACTAGACTGATACTAATGGCTGTATTCCCTGTATTACTATAGTAATGTACTGTAGAACTAGACTGATACTAATGGCTGTATTCCCTGTATTACTATAGTAATGTACTGTAGAACTAGACTGATACTAATGGCTGTATTGTCTGTATTACTATAGTAATGTACTGTAGAACTAGACTGATACTAATGGCTGTATTCCCTGTATTACTATAGTAATGTACTGTAGAACTAGACTGATACTAATGGCTGTATTGTCTGTATTACTGTAGTAATGTACTGTAGAACTAGACTGATACTAATGGCTATATTGTCTGTATTACTGTAGTAATGTACTGTAGAACTAGACTGATACTAATGGCTGTATTGTCTGTATTACTATAGTAATGTCCTGTAGAACTAGACTGATACTAATGGCTGTATTCCCTGTATTACTATAGTAATGTACTGTAGAACTAGACTGATACTAATGGCTGTATTGTCTGTATTACTATAGTAATGTACTGTAGAACTAGACTGATACTAATGGCTGTATTCCCTGTATTACTATAGTAATGTACTGTAGAACTAGACTGATACTAATGGCTGTATTGTCTGTATTACTATAGTAATGTACTGTAGAACTAGACTGATACTAATGGCTGTATTGTCTGTATTACTATAGTAATGTACTGTAGAACTAGACTGATACTAATGGCTGTATTCCCTGTATTACTATAGTAATGTACTGTAGAACTAGACTGATACTAATGGCTGTATTCCCTGTATTACTATAGTAATGTACTGTAGAACTAGACTGATACTAATGGCTGTATTACCTGTATTACTATAGTAATGTACTGTAGAACTAGACTGATACTAATGGCTGTATTACCTGTATTACTATAGTAATGTACTGTAGAACTAGACTGATACTAATGGCTGTATTCCCTGTATTACTATAGTAATGTACTGTAGAACTAGACTGATACTAATGGCTGTATTGTCTGTATTACTATAGTAATGTACTGTAGAACTAGACTGATACTAATGGCTGTATTCCCTGTATTACTATAGTAATGTACTGTAGAACTAGACTGATACTAATGGCTGTATTGTCTGTATTACTGTAGTAATGTACTGTAGAACTAGACTGATACTAATGGCTATATTGTCTGTATTACTGTAGTAATGTACTGTAGAACTAGACTGATACTAATGGCTGTATTGTCTGTATTACTATAGTAATGTACTGTAGAACTAGACTGATACTAATGGCTGTATTCCCTGTATTACTATAGTAATGTACTGTAGAACTAGACTGATACTAATGGCTGTATTGTCTGTATTACTATAGTAATGTACTGTAGAACTAGACTGATACTAATGGCTGTATTCCCTGTATTACTATAGTAATGTACTGTAGAACTAGACTGATACTAATGGCTGTATTCCCTGTATTACTATAGTAATGTACTGTAGAACTAGACTGATACTAATGGCTGTATTCCCTGTATTACTATAGTAATGTACTGTAGAACTAGACTGATACTAATGGCTGTATTCCCTGTATTACTATAGTAATGTACTGTAGAACTAGACTGATACTAATGGCTGTATTGTCTGTATTACTATAGTAATGTACTGTAGAACTAGACTGATACTAATGGCTGTATTGTCTGTATTACTATAGTAATGTACTGTAGAACTAGACTGATACTAATGGCTGTATTGTCTGTATTACTATAGTAATGTACTGTAGAACTAGACTGATACTAATGGCTGTATTCCCTGTATTACTATAGTAATGTACTGTAGAACTAGACTGATACTAATGGCTGTATTCCCTGTATTACTATAGTAATGTACTGTAGAACTAGACTGATACTAATGGCTGTATTCCCTGTATTACTATAGTAATGGACTGTAGAACTAGACTGATACTAATGGCTGTATTCCCTGTATTACTATAGTAATGTACTGTAGAACTAGACTGATACTAATGGCTGTATTCCCTGTATTACTATAGTAATGTACTGTAGAACTAGACTGATACTAATGGCTGTATTGTCTGTATTACTATAGTAATGGACTGTAGAACTAGACTGATACTAATGGCTGTATTCCCTGTATTACTATAGTAATGGACTGTAGAACTAGACTGATACTAATGGCTGTATTCCCTGTATTACTATAGTAATGTACTGTAGAACTAGACTGATACTAATGGCTGTATTCCCTGTATTACTATAGTAATGTACTGTAGAACTAGACTGATACTAATGGCTGTATTGTCTGTATTACTATAGTAATGTACTGTAGAACTAGACTGATACTAATGGCTGTATTGTCTGTATTACTATAGTAATGTACTGTAGAACTAGACTGATACTAATGGCTGTATTCCCTGTATTACTATAGTAATGTACTGTAGAACTAGACTGATACTAATGGCTGTATTCCCTGTATTACTATAGTAATGTACTGTAGAACTAGACTGATACTAATGGCTGTATTGTCTGTATTACTATAGTAATGTACTGTAGAACTAGACTGATACTAATGGCTGTATTCCCTGTATTGCTATAGTAATGTACTGTAGAACTAGACTGATACTAATGGCTGTATTCCCTGTATTACTATAGTAATGTACTGTAGAACTAGACTGATACTAATGGCTGTATTCCCTGTATTACTATAGTAATGTACTGTAGAACTAGACTGATACTAATGGCTGTATTGTCTGTATTACTATAGTAATGTACTGTAGAACTAGACTGATACTAATGGCTGTATTGTCTGTATTACTATAGTAATGTACTGTAGAACTAGACTGATACTAATGGCTGTATTGTCTGTATTACTATAGTAATGTACTGTAGAACTAGACTGATACTAATGGCTGTATTCCCTGTATTACTATAGTAATGTACTGTAGAACTAGACTGATACTAATGGCTGTATTCCCTGTATTACTATAGTAATGTACTGTAGAACTAGACTGATACTAATGGCTGTATTCCCTGTATTACTATAGTAATGTACTGTAGAACTAGACTGATACTAATGGCTGTATTCCCTGTATTACTATAGTAATGTACTGTAGAACTAGACTGATACTAATGGCTGTATTGTCTGTATTACTATAGTAATGTACTGTAGAACTAGACTGATACTAATGGCTGTATTGTCTGTATTACTGTAGTAATGTACTGTAGAACTAGACTGATACTAATGGCTATATTGTCTGTATTACTGTAGTAATGTACTGTAGAACTAGACTGATACTAATGGCTGTATTGTCTGTATTACTATAGTAATGTACTGTAGAACTAGACTGATACTAATGGCTGTATTCCCTGTATTACTATAGTAATGTACTGTAGAACTAGACTGATACTAATGGCTGTATTCCCTGTATTACTATAGTAATGTACTGTAGAACTAGACTGATACTAATGGCTGTATTGTCTGTATTACTATAGTAATGTACTGTAGAACTAGACTGATACTAATGGCTGTATTCCCTGTATTACTATAGTAATGTACTGTAGAACTAGACTGATACTAATGGCTGTATTGTCTGTATTACTATAGTAATGTACTGTAGAACTAGACTGATACTAATGGCTGTATTCCCTGTATTACTATAGTAATGTACTGTAGAACTAGACTGATACTAATGGCTGTATTGTCTGTATTACTATAGTAATGTACTGTAGAACTAGACTGATACTAATGGCTGTATTCCCTGTATTACTATAGTAATGTACTGTAGAACTAGACTGATACTAATGGCTGTATTCCCTGTATTACTATAGTAATGTACTGTAGAACTAGACTGATACTAATGGCTGTATTGTCTGTATTACTATAGTAATGTACTGTAGAACTAGACTGATACTAATGGCTGTATTGTCTGTATTACTGTAGTAATGTACTGTAGAACTAGACTGATACTAATGGCTGTATTGTCTGTATTACTATAGTAATGTACTGTAGAACTAGACTGATACTAATGGCTGTATTCCCTGTATGACTGATGTGTTTCCTATAGAATGGCTTCACTCCTCTGTACATGGCTGCTCAGGAGAATCATCAGAAGGTGGTCAGATACCTGCTGGACCACGGCTCCACACAGGGCATCGCTACAGAGGTCAGTATTCATCAGAAGGTGGTCAGATACCTGCTGGACCACGGCTCCACACAGGGCATCGCTACAGAGGTCAGTATTCATCAGAAGGTGGTCAGATACCTGCTGGACCACGGCTCCACACAGGGCATCGCTACAGAGGTCAGTATTCATCAGAAGGTGGTCAGATACCTGCTGGACCACGGCTCCACACAGGGCATCGCTACAGAGGTCAGTATTCATCAGAAGGTGGTCAGATACCTGCTGGACCACGGCTCTACACAGGGCATCGCTACAGAGGTCAGTATTCATCAGAAGGTGGTCAGATACCTGCTGGACCATGGCTCTACACAGGGCATCGCTACAGAGGTCAGTATTCATCAGAAGGTGGTCAGATACCTGCTGGACCACGGCTCCACACAGGGCATCGCTACAGAGGTCAGTATTCATCAGAAGGTGGTCAGATACCTGCTGGACCACGGCTCCACACAGGGCATCGCTACAGAGGTCAGTATTCATCAGAAGGTGGTCAGATACCTGCTGGACCACGGCTCCACACAGGGTATCGCTACAGAGGTCAGTATTCATCAGAAGGTGGTCAGATACCTGCTGGACCACGGCTCCACACAGGGCATCGCTACAGAGGTCAGTATTCATCAGAAGGTGGTCAGATACCTGCTGGACCACGGCTCCACACAGGGCATCGCTACAGAGGTCAGTATTCATCAGAAGGTGGTCAGATACCTGCTGGACCACGGCTCCACACAGGGCATCGCTACAGAGGTCAGTATTCATCAGAAGGTGGTCAGATACCTGCTGGACCACGGCTCCACACAGGGCATCGCTACAGAGGTCAGTATTCATCAGAAGGTGGTCAGATACCTGCTGGACCACGGCTCCACACAGGGCATCGCTACAGAGGTCAGTATTCATCAGAAGGTGGTCAGATACCTGCTGGACCACGGCTCCACACAGAGCATCACTACAGAGGTCAGTATTCCAGGCAGGGCTACCCTATAGCTCATAACCGTTCCCCTCTTCTTCATACTAACTCATATCTCTACATCAGAGCATCACTACA